CAAGGAGACACAAATTAAAATCACAATGAGATATAATCTCACACTTGTTTTTTTTTATTTTTTTAATGTTTTATTTATTTCTAGGAGAGAGAGAGAGAGAGACAGCGTGAGCAGGGGAGGGTCAGAGAGAGAGGGAGACACAGAATCTGAAGCAGGCTCCAGGCTCTGAGCTGGCAGTCAGCACAGAGCCCGACGCGGGGCTCGAACCCACGAACCGCGAGATCATGACCTAAGTGAAAGTCGGATGCTTAACCGACTAAGCCACCCAGGCGCCCCAATCTCACACTTGTTTTAAAAATCATCATCAAAAAGACAAAGAGGTAACACACACCGGTGCGGATGTGGACAAAGGAGAACACTTGTGCACTGTTAAGATTGTAAATGGGAAGAGTCATTATGGAAAACGGTATGGAGTTTCCTCAAGAAAACTAAAAGTAGAACTCTCCTCTGACCCAGCAATTCTACTCCTCAGAATATGTCCAAAGGAAATGAAAACAAATAACTCGAAGAGATATCTGCATCTCCATGTTCATAGCAGCATTATTTATAACAGTCACACCATGGAAACGACGTTAAGTGTCCATTGGTGGATGAATGGATAAAGAACTGTGATGTGTATATATACAGTGGGACATTATTCAGCCATTAAAAACAAGGAAATCCTACCATATGTGGCAACATGGATGGACCTTGAAGGCATCACGCTAAGTGAAAAGTCAGATGGAGAAAGACAAAATCTCACCTATATGTGGAATCTAAAAAACAACAGTAACAACAAACTCACAGACAATGAGATGAGATCTGTGGTTCCCAGAGACAGAACGTGGAGGAGAGGGAATGGGAAGAAGGGGGTCAAAAGGTACAATCTTAAAGTTAAAGGATTAGTAAGTCCTAGAGACGTGATGTGGTTAAAAGAGTAGATCCTAAGAGTTCTCATCATGAGGAGAAAGACCTTTTCCTCTTTTCTTCTTCTTTTTTTTAAATTGTATTTGTATGAGAAGGTAGATGTTAACTGGACCTATTGTGGTAATCATCTCCCAATAATGTAAATCAAACCATCATGCTGTGTGCCTTAAACATGTACAGTGATTATATATTGATTATTTCTCAATAAAACTGGGGGGAAATTCTTAGAATAAGATTTCTGCTTTTGGTCATTTCATTTTTTAAAAATGTTTATTTGTTTATTTTGAGAGGAGGGGAGGGGCTGAGAGAGAAGGAGAGCAAGAATCCCAAGCCGGCTCCGCACTGTCATCATGGAGCCCAGTGTGGGGCTTGAACCCACAAACCGCGAGATCATGACCTGAGCTGAAGTCGGACGCTTAACCGACTGAGCTGACATTCCCACCACCGGTGTGCAGGGTTCCCTATCGTCCACATTATCACCAGAATTTGTTCTCTTGTCTTTTTGATAACAGACATTCTAACAGGTGTGAGGTGATATTTCACTGTGGTTTTGATTTGCATTTCCCTGATGAGGAGTGATGTTGAGCATCTTGTCACGTGTATGTTGGCTATTTGTGTATCTTCTTTGGGAAAATGTCTATGCAGTTTCTTCACTTAGTTTTAAATTGGTTATTTGGTTTTTTGCTATTGTATGAGTTCCTTGTACGTGTTGGATGTGAACCACTTATGGATATGTGGCTTACAAATATTTTCTCCTCTTCCATAGTTTGTCTTTTTACTCTGTTGAGTTGCTTGGGCTGACAACTTATGGGCCAAAAGGTAAGGAAGGGCTCAGAAACTGATGGAAAGAAAAGCAAAAAGACATCGGATCAAGCTTGAAGGTTCCCACTGGATAGATCTGGGACAGTTTGTACATCAAAACAATAAAGGTAATATCAGATTCTATCCCATTGAATAACAAAGGAATCCCTGAGGTCATGGTGATATAAATAAATAAGTTAATAAATACGTAAGTGGAGGAGAAAAGTTGCTTTTTTTATACGGTGAAAGGCCAACTAATAATAGACACTTATTAATAAAGTACCATATACATTACAACAGAGAAGCCTGGTGGAGACTTTCTAAAGGAAGTGATGAAGTTCAACATTCTGGGTGAGGGCAGGTTGGCCCCGTGCACCCCCCGCTATGGTGTCCGGGGAACAGGTTATCTCACAGCTCACTTCTGTGAGATTCCTGCTCTAGTTACATAACCCGAATCTAATCATCAGGAAGCATCAGCAAACCCACAATAAGGAACCCCCTTCCAGGTGACAGTAGCCTTCAAAATGCCGTGGTCGGTGAAGACAAGGAAGGTCTGCAGAACTGTCAGCAAGCCATCACAGCCAAGAAAACTGTGATTCTAGGTCCGGGGACTCTGAAGGGCATTATTTGCAAAGTGGACAAAATCAGAAAGAAGGCTACAGATGACACGATGGTGTTGTGTCGGTGAGCTTCCTGTTTTCATTCTGCGGGAGAGCATCCTTGTCACTAGTAAAAGCATTCTGAAGGACGAAAAGCTGATAAGGCATCATATTTGTGCCCTGCTCTGGAATGGTCCCAGAGAAAAATAGTACGTTTATATCCATAGATCTGCCTGTCTATCTGTTGAGGGAGAGAGAGATGATGAATTAAAGCAAATGTGGTAAAATGCCAACAGCAGGTGTGTGGGGGGGGGGGATCTGGATGAGGACGATGGGAGTTCTTTGTGCTATTCTGCCAACCTTTCCGAAGGATGAAATGATAGAAACAGGAGTCACATGGAGGTGGGGCGTGACTGGCACAGACCAGAGCAAGGAGGAGAGGTGGAGACAGGAAGGGCTGGAGGTGTGTTGAGTAACTTAGGAGAGGCATGGGCAGGGGGTGTCAGATCTCTTATCTGAGACTTGGAGAAAGATCACCGAAGAAACAGACTCTTGACCACAGAGAACAAACTGATGGTGACCAGAGAGGAGGTGCGTGGGGGAGGTGGGGGGAAATAGGCGATGGGGATTAAGGAGTGCATTGTAGTGATGAGCACTGGGTGATGTTTGGAAGTGCTGAATCTGTCGTACACCAGAATCTAATATATTACACTGTATGTCAACTAACTAGAATCAAAATAAAAACTTGAAAAACATTTTTTAATGTTTATTTTTGAGAGAGAAAGAGAGTGAGCAGGGGAAGAGCAGAGAGAGAAGGAGACACAGAATCCAAAGCAGGCTCCAGGCTCTGAGCTGTCAGCCCAGAGCCTGATATGGGGCTCGAACTCACAAACCTTGAGATCATGATGACCTGAGCCAAAATCAGATGCTTAAGTGACTGAGCCACCCCGGCACCCCTAAAATAAAAACTTAAAGAAAATAAAGATCAACCCACTTTCCTTGCTTTGTTTCATTTAATCCTCCAAAGAATCCCACGAGGGTAGACACTAGTCTTATCCTCGCTTTATAAAGAAATTGGGGGCTCAGAGATTCATCCGTTCAACCAGCATTTACTGAGTGCTTACCATGGTCCAATTGTACTGCAGCTACATGAAAAAAATGTCAAGTGTGATTGCACGTGTGTGTGTATATCTAGAAAACAATCCAGGAAGCAGATGTGAGGCAAAATTAATGTGCTAAGAGAGGTGGTGGGTACATGTGCTCTCGTTTTCTTCTTTGACCCTTCTAGATGTTTCCGGTTTTCTACAACGCACACCATTGGCTTTGTGACAAGTTAAAAAAACAAGTATTATTTCAAAGATGGAATTGAAGGGTGTTATAATGACAACACTTCTCATTATGATGTGTTTGTGATCAAGTATTGTTTCCGACGCAGTCTCATGTACCAAAGTGGTATAGACAGCTGTTTCTTAATCCCGTTATGGCTCCGTCTCTCCACACCACAGTGAAGAAACGGCAGGGTTACAAGTGGGAAGCTGACTCCTCCCTTGACTCTCGCAGCCTGGATTTGCCTACATTTTCTGTGTGGAAACCTAAGTCCAGGGCTGGGTGACCTCCTCCTCAGACAAAACATTCCCAGACCTCCATGATACCAGTCTCTTTGCACATGGAAGCGCGCATACATAGCAGGTCCCTCATTGAATGGGAAGGCGGCTTGATAAAAGCACATCCTTGGGTCCAAAGAGAGAGTGGCCAGCCCGATGGGGTCACTGTGTCGTATGGTGGGACACCCATTTACTTTGGGTACGTTCTTTCATTTTTATTTTTTTAATGTTTATTTATTTTTGAGATAGAGAGAGCATGAGCAGGGGAAGGGCAGAGAGAGAGAGGGAGACAGAGAATCCAAGCGGGCTCTGTGCTGTCAGTGCAAAGCCCGATGTGGAGCTTGAACCCATGAACTGTGAGATCATGACCTGAGCCGAAGTTGGATACTTAACTGACTGAGCCCCCTAGGTGCTCCTGCCCTCCCTCCCCACCTTAGGGTACTTTCTGATCGCTGGATTCCTTCCTCCCCTTTGTTGCCCAGGCTCCAAGGGCTCTAGGGCGGTCCCATCTATCCCGCCTGGGCTCTCCCAGCACCCTGTGCCTGTGTACCTCCCAGAGCGCAGAGAACTCGCTTTGAAGGACGCACATCCTCAGTCACTGCTGGATTGAATTGAGTCCTTCAAGCAGATATGGGGAAATGCATGGAGTAAATCAGGGTGTATCCCTGCGGTGGGGTTCAGTGCAGCCACCAGAAACGATGCTTTACAATGATTTATTCACCTGGGAAAGTGACCCCAGCACACTTCTACTTAAAAACAACAACAACAACAACAACAACAACACGAGTACAGTTAAGTGCACCTTTGTCACCATCATAAATACACAGAGGGAAAAAAAATCAAACTAAAAGAAAATACACCAACGAATGCACAGTGGTTGTTTTTCAGTAGTGAGATTATGGGTGATTTCGGTGTTTTCTTTTTCCCTTTGTGTTTTTAAGCTATTATTTTTATGTACCACTTTTGAGAGACACAGCATGAGTAGGGCAGGAGCAGAGAGACAGAGACAGAGACACAGAATCTGAAGCAGGCTCCAGGCTCTGAGCTAGCTGTCAGCACAGAGCCCGACGTGGGGTTCAAACCCACAAGCCGTGAGATCATGGCCTGAGCTGGAGTCGGATGCTTAACCAACTGAACTACTCAGGCACCTCTAAGCTATTTTTGCTATTGGGGAAATGGTTTTTAAAGAAATACATCTCTAAGGGGAAAGGGAAGAAAAATGTGACTACCAGGAGCCCCCTGGTGAGAGAAGAAATATGTTCCTTTGAGTTAAGGGACCTCTCAATCTTCTCCATCAAGACCAAGTCTCCACCTCACTCTCCCTGGCAGGTACTCTCTTCCCTCTCAGCCTCGGACACCGTCAGCTTGCACACCAGGTCATTATTTGTTGATGGGTCCGAGGTGGCAGCCAGAACTCTGACCCCTCAAACCAGAAGGCTTGGCGGGGGAGAAGAGGAGCGGGGGAGACAGGGAAATCCACCCTGCCTCCTTTTGCCTGATAGAAATTTCTGCGATAAAGCCATCAGAATGTGCTCCCAGGGTCACCCTAACTTCCAAGGAAGGGAGATTCCGGAAAATATCCAGAAAGAAGAAAATGGTCAATGCATCAGGCATGTGATCCGTGTCTAGCCCACAACCTGAACTGCTTGGTTTTTGCAAATATAAACATTCTCACAAAGGGTTTACTCGGTCCTACTGCCAACAGCAGTTCCCCAATCCTATTTCCCATTAGGGCTTTGGTTGTCCCGCCCTGAGTTCTCTTTTCCTCAGGGTTTCCAACAGCCTGCAGCGGTGGGGGGGTGGGGGAGGTGAGGGTGGGGAGGGGCTGTGGGCTCCTGATTGGCTCTCCACTACAGAGTAAAGTCAAGGGCAGAAATCACTTCTTCCGAGTTCACTGGTGGTGGGGGCAGGGGCTGCTGGGGGGCTCGGGGCTCTGTTTACAAATGTTAATGCTCACAAATCTGAAATCCTGTTTGGATTCAGTCCCCAGTCTTGGCCCCAGTCTTCTGGAATGTCCCATTTGGCTCATTCATCTCCTTCCTACCAAGGAGATGTTCTTGGAGAACACTCATGGCCCAGAGGGAATGTAGTCTACACCGCCTTTAAACTCGCTCACCCCTACGTGGCTGCAATTCCGTGGTATGTCAGGTGTCCGAATCTGGCCAGGAGGCCCAAGCCACCTCAGCTCGGGTCAGCGTGCCTGGCAGGTCACCCTGGCTGGGTCCTGCATCAGCCTCCAGGGCCCCGAGTCAGAACCCTGCAGAGAGCTCATGGTCTGCTGTGGAGGGGGACATGGAGCTGGTCCTCTCCAGCCTCTCCGTGGAGAGGAAGGGGAGCCATTTAGCCAGGTGCACGGCCAGGACCCTGTGGAAGAGCTGGCGCAGGTACTTGCGGAACCTCTCCCCCACGAAGGCGTAAATGACGGGGTTGACGCAGCAGTGCGTGTAGGCAATCACCTCTGTCACCTGTATGGCCAAGTCCAGCTGTTTGCTCTGCCGGCACTCATCGGTGAAAAAGGTGTCTTGGAAAGCAGAGACCAACATGGCCAGGTTGTAGGGGGTCCAAAAGAGAAAGAAGACGATCATGATGACGAAAATCAGACGGACAGCTTTGGCCTTCTTCTCATTTGGCCGTCTGAGCAGAATCCTTATAATCTCCGTGTAGCAGATGATCATGACCAACAGGGGCAACACCAGCCCCAGCATGTTCAGCTTCAGAGCCTGAAACCGTTTCCAGGCCTTTAGGTTTTCAGGAGGGAAGTGAAGGCTGCAGGTGGTATGGAAGAACTCCCACTGGATCCTGGAAAAGTAAAAGCCCGGGACGGCAGCCAAGATGGCCAGGACCCAGGCCAGAGCGCTGCTGAGGATGCCGAAGAGGACAGTGCGGACCTGCAGGGCGAACACGGCGTGGACGATGGCCAGGTACCTGTCCACCGTCATCAGGATGATGAAGAAGATCTCGCTGTACAAGCCTATGTAATAAAGCCCCGAGAGCAACTTACAGGTGCCGTCGCTGAAAATCCAGTCATCCTTCAGCTTGTAGTCAATCCAGAAGGGCAGCGTGAAGAGGAAGAGCAGGTCAGAAATGGCCAGGTTGAGGAGGTAGATGCTGGTCATACTCTTGAGCCTCTTGTACTGCATCAGGACCAAGAGCACCAGGACATTGCCCACCAGGCCAATGATAAACACCAGCGAGTACAGTGGGGGCAGCAGCTGGGCCCCGAAGGCCCTCTCTGCCCCCTTCTGGCATGGGGTGATGCCTCCATAGTCATATTCTGTCGTCGTGTCATAGCTCTCTGTAGAGACAGTGATTTCCGTGCTGGCTTCTGTCATCCTGGCGCGAGTCTCTGTTTCCTTTGCTGTGAAAGGGCAGTGGGCTCTGGGCAGCAAAGACAATGCAGTGATGATTAGAAGCCTTCCCCCACCTGACAGCTGTTTTACTGAGTGCCTACTGTGTACCAGACCCTGGGATGTGATGCTGAGTAAGGGGGACCTGGGTCGTCTCTGCCCTCATGGAGCCGGGAGCCTCACGGGGGGGTGGGGGGGGAACATGCAGGAGGTAAACTAATGAGCACCCGAGTGGTTCATTCCATCCCTTTGGCGGTAAGCATCATGCGGAAGCCTGGCGGCTGGAGAGAGTACGAAGATGGGGGTGGGGGGGTCTCTCCACACTGCTCCTAACCAGTGCTTCCCACGGTCTTGGCATTGGACTGAGCTAGACAACCCCTCACTCCCAAGCAGGTGCCACTATTGTCCCCCCGTTTAGAGGTGATGATGCAGATGTTCAAAGTGGTAAGGACAATATTTATGGGAACAAGCGGGTGGAGTTCAAACTCAGGCGTGAGTTGCTCTCAGGCACATTCCTGAAACCATTGGCACTTCTGCCTCCAATCACAGAGCCATGATTTTGCACCGCGGGATCTCAGAAGGATGCTGAGAGTCCAAAACTTACAGAGGGATCTTCATGGCCACAGGGGCTTAAGAGGTTCTTAGCTGGGGATGACATAGCGCCCTGGGGGCACATGAAAATGTGTGGGCTTTTTTGCCGGCGGGGGGGGGGTTGCCCCAGAGACTAAGGGATGCTACTGTCTGGCCGTTCATCAGGCAGGATGATGATCATCATGGATGTCCTGCAACGTGAAAATTGTCCTGCCCACAAGACCCGTAATGAAGTTCTAGAAGGCCAGCCCATCTCTTAGCAGATGAGGGCAGTGAGGACACAAGAGTGGGGCAGCCTGGCTCATGTCATACCAGCCCAGATGTGGCACAGGTGGGTCTACAGGTGACTCAGTAGACAGCTTGTGATCGGCGTGAGGAGGATTCCGAGGAAAGTACAATCTGGGAAGAGTGGGGTGACCTGGTGGGAAGAAGAAGGGGTGGGGGGCAGGGGAAGAACTCACAACAGCTTCCAGCCATGAAGTGTCATGCAGCGACCAGATGGTAGCTGGAGTGCTGCTGAACTAGGCTCTTAGATATTTTTACCCAAGGTTGCCTTGAAACAAACAAATACACAGAAGAGCCACTAGATCGCCTGCCTTTGTAGGACTTCCCCTAGCCCCAGACGTTTGGCACGCTATTCCAATCTGTTCCAATCACTTACTGAAGACACCTCCCCCAAGGGAGCATGGATGGGCTTCGGTGTAACCTACCACCTGTGTGACTTTGGATAAGTTAATCTACCTCTCTGAGCCTCAGGTTCTCATCTGTATTGTGGGGAAGTAACCCTTACCTCGCAGGGCTGCTGTAAGGTGATGCATGTACGAGAAAAGCCACACCTTGGTATTTATCAGGCCATCAGTAAATATGATGAGTCCAGTCTCAGGCTTCGATCCTATTCTGGCTGATGCATCCCACTCCCCAAGTCCCCCCCCCCCCCATCAGCTCTCTCTGTAGTCAATTTGGAAAATGAGTTCTGCGTGACAGGGGGTGGACGGTGGCAGTCCCTTCTGTCCGAACCACGCTTTGAAATTTACAGTAGGTGACCAGCAGTCTGAATCCATTTGACATAAACACCGATCATTAAAGGAGCTGGTGCCCCCATCATAACTCCCATCCCGAATCTGGAGTCTGGAGTCTTCTAAATTGCTTAGTGGAGGTTTCCAGCTTACAAAATTCACATTTCTGCAGTGGCCATTGGAAAATATGGCAGACAGGACAGGGCGGCAGAGTGGGGTCGGGCATCCTGGCCGGGACACCGTCATTTCCTGTCAAATCCATCCCTGTGGCTCACTCGTCCGGCTCTGGACTTGCCTACACCTGCCCAGCTGTCCTTCTGGGGAAACTGAGGCCGGCAGTCGCTAACCAGCCTGGGTGGGCAATTTCTGACTTCCGCTGTCACTGCCAGTATGACAGGCCGGCTTGGCAGACAGAGCTTTTGGATGGGCTGGCAGGTTTACGGTGAAAGCTAGCAGAAGCCTGGGAGCACAGAGAGCCACTGCTGCAAGACCGAGCCCAGGAGCCTAGCTTCTGGGGGAATTTTGGCAAAGATTGAGTCAGCATTGCCCGTGCCGTTTGAACAGAGAATCACCTTCACCACCCTACCCCCTACACCACGTCCAGCTTCATTTACAATTTTCCCAGCTTGCCAGGCACCAAGCAACAACCCCACAACTCCGGGGGAGAGATGGGGTGGGGGTCGGGGGGAGAGGGGTCCTGCAGGGAAACAGAAGGACCATGTTGCAATCGAGCCCTGCAAAGCCCGAGTCCTGAGTCTGCTGCAAAGTTGGTCCCAAGGTCACTGCACGGTGATCAGCTGGAGCCCTGGAACGGGGAACCTCGCAGTGCCCGGATCATCTGGCCTGGGAGCAGGTGAGAAAAGGGCTGTCTGTGGGGAGAAGACACCCAAGCCCCGTGGCGTGCCGTGGCTGGCTTATACTGGTTCGTAAAAAGCAGTCACGTACATCTCTCCTGAAAGCTGCACTCAGGGGTTTGTAGCTTGAAATCAACCATAGTGGGAATATCGACGCCATAGAAATCCACAAATACTAGAAGTCAGGGCTCTTTTTTTTTCCCCAGGGAGAGCCAGGGGTTAAACATTTATTTACCGGCCCTTCACTGCCCACAGTCTGAGTAGCCTAGAGCTCTCCCCCTAGTCAGAGTGAGGACTCGAGCGTCAGCGAGTGGTGCACAGCCTCGAGACAAGCTATGTAAACCTCTGACAGCTTCTAACTCGGAAAATCTGGGGCACTCCAGATTTTATGGAGGAAGAATTGATGTAGATACCTCCAAGTAGCCCCCGTGCCCCTCTATCTTCAGAACCAATTCTGACCTGCCTCTTTGTTAGTAGAACAGAATGGATGCATCCCAAGAGGACATCTCCCCATCTTTGGGAGGATAAAATCCTACCTCCTCCAAAGACAAATCAGCAGTCCTGATTGTGAGTTTCCTTAGTTCTAGTCTTCTCAAGAAACTGGTCCAGTATCAAATCACCCTGGCATCTGTAACGTTTTTCTTAATTAACATTTCCCTTTTGCTACAATTTCTTCACACACCATGTTTGGGTTTTGTTTACACAGGGAAATTTGGCAAGTGATTTCCTCTTGAATAGGGAGGCTCTTGTTTCTTAACAGACTTGAGAAAGGCTGATTTTCTCAACCAGTCACCAACAACCAATCACTCAAGAAGGCTTCCCTTTTTAGCAAGAAAACCCCTATTTTATATCTGAGTGCACAGACTCAGAAATTCACCCACTGTCAGGATTGCTCTATAATTAAGTGCCTTACAGATGCATTGATGGGCTAATTAGACATTTGCATGGCCCTCAAAGAATCCCTCACCTTTGAGGAATGTCCTGCGGTGTGAGGACCACAGTCCTGGCTACATGCATGTCTTCAAACAAGACTGCCCTCCATGGTGACCAACAAGACAGAAGAGACAAATACCACTTACTCTGGTCTCCAGGGGTTTTGTCCACGAAGTCTTTGTTTATGGAGCTTTTAGAATTTTCATGAATTCGAGGCTCAACGCCTTGATTGAACAGGAAGCCCTCAGCTTCCTGTGTGATGATTTAGGACTCCAGGGCTCACAGTCTTTCAGAATGATGAAAAGGGGGCAAGGTTCTTCTTTTTATGTGGCCGGGTGTCCATGAATGGCCACGACACCCACCAGTGGTCAGTTCCTCAAGGCTGGGCTCACTCGAAGGATTTTCTGTGCTCACTCAGCTGTGCTTCTCCCTGGGGAGCTGTGCCTTAAGGGGATTGGGTATGGGGTGGGGTGGAGTTGAGCAGGGCGAGGTGGTGTGAGGTGTTCCCAGAATTTGTGAAGCAATCAAAGACTGAGACAGTGTGTGTGTATGTGTGTGTGTGTGTGTGTGTGTGTGTGTGTTTGTGTGTCGGGGGGGTGGGGAGTGGTGGTGAGGGAGGGCGGGGCATAGAAGGTTTGTGGTCAGTGAGCAGCCTTTAAAAAAAAAAAAAAAAGCTTGCAAATGGAAGGATTTAAACCAGAATGCTGGATCCTGTTTCTTAAAATAAACCGGCTGATAGCCTGAGAGATGCACAGGTTCTCTTTGGCGCCCCCTATGTCCTCCACCTCTGACCGTTTGCTGTCCCTCTCTGCTCTGGTGGTGGTGACCCCACTAAACCCCACGGAACAATTACATCTCAAGGAACCTTCAGCATGAAGTGAGTACAGGTCTGTAGGCTGAGTTTCAGTCATTCCCCTCTGATCCCGGGCTCCTGTTTAATGCGATGGTCCGACCGAGGCTGTGGCCAAATCCCAGCTCTCCCTTGACACAGGGGCCAGAAACTACGCCTTGACAGGTCTTGGCTCCCGCTCCATCAAATGAGCTGGCCGAGCACTCTTGCTTGCAGCAGCATGCACAGGACAGCTTGGAGGTGAAAGTGTCACAGAGCACCTGGCCCAAGGCAAAGTGATGAAGGATGCTTCCCACAAGCTCTCCCCATAGCCACCAGCGCCTGCTCTGCCACCATGCCAGTGTCCCCCTCGGGCTCCACTCCTTTTCTGTGAAATGGGACTCTAGTGGCCTTTACAGAATTGCTGCAAGCACCATTTCAGAAATGAATGCGAATGTGCTTTGCAAATGCCACTTGTCCCCTCAGGGCTTAGTTTCTTCATCCGTATAGTGACGACTTTAGACAAGGTGCCTCGTGTCCCCTTCAAAGGAACACTGCGTGAGCCTTCTGGGGTCAGGTCTCCCCTCTTTGGCAGCCTGTCCACAGACAGATGGGGGAAGAGGGAGGCAAAGGACAACTAAGCTGACAAAGAGGTAACTGGGTGTGTTATTTATGCATTTGATGGTCTCTTTCCTCTTCTGTAAAATGAGGCTAGTAATGCCTACTTTATAGAGGGTTAAATGAAGATATAGACATGCATATGGATGAATGGTTTGGGGCTGAACTTGACAAGCGTTACCAATGCCTGGCTTAGTTTGGGTTTCCCTTTTAGGTGCAAACCCTGCAGCAGAATGCAGATGCAAGTAGTATACTTGCAGGGGTTCCCAGGAGACATTGCAGGGAAGGGGAAAGGGGGCCAGGAAAGGGAGCATTATAGAGCCACTCCTGCAGAAGGTAAGTGGCACCCAGGCCCCTGGGGACATCGGGAGCTCCTCAGAGTCACCCTGACTGTGGGGCCAGAGGGTTGAGGAAACCAGGCACACGTCGATTACATCTCTGCCTGCCCGCCACTGGTTGAGGGCTGCTTCTCTCTGGCTTTTGTCACTAGATATCACCCTAGGAGATTCTTCTCCCCCAGCGCACAGGGCTGGGCATTTAGGCAGTGGCCGTGGCCCTAGATGTAGTGGGAACAAATAAAAGTGTCAGTACGATGCACACCACAGTCTTCTAACCTTGACTTTGCCTAGGCCTCTGGTTCCTCAATGGAGCACCCTCTGCAGTGTCAGCCCCTGATGGGTCCTGCTGACCCTCCTCTTCCATCTCCCATACTTCCCTTCTGTGTCTCATCCACGACATCGGATGCTGACGCAGCTGTTTCCACTTCCCCTTTCCTGTCCCAATCTCGACATCCCAGAAACCTCATGGTCTGTTCAACTGAGATGAGGCAAGGCCAGGCTCCTTGACTGCATGGAGCCTCTGCCTGTCACCGAGGTAAACCTTTCAGGTGCAAGTGCCACACCTGTAGATAAATTTCCACAAGGGGCTGGCAGTGCCATGACCATGGAGCTCTCCTGCCACCCAGTCCCGGGCCACGCTGTCTGCCTGCGGGCAAAAGGGGTTGCTTCTGACCCTGGGCCCCTCTCGGGACACCAAAGACGGATTGACAGGTATCCCACAGATGGGCGAGAGGGCCTTTGGGAGACGCTGGTGGCTCCTAGGTGGTAGCCTACCCTTGCCCCCTCCACACCACCATATTTTATCCCCACCTTGTCTGATTCCCTTTTCTCGCCTCTCTCTCCACCACCCCTCTCCCTCTACGTTGCTTCTTCCAGGCAGTCTTTTCTCCTCCTTAATCTCCGCCTCTCCTCTCCCGCCTGGCGGCTCCCAGGCCGTGTCTTGCCCCACAGCGTGCTGCAAACCCAGCCCGGCAGACCAGAGGAAGCAGGTCCGGTAACCTTCTGTCCCCTTCGTTCTGCCCAGCTGGCCTCTTGTGCTGGGTCGTGTCCCGGTGTGAATGAGGGTGCTGGGCATGAACACGACCCAGGATGGGTGAGAAACCATCCTTCCTGGATCATCCAAGAGGCCACCTCCTCCCTGCAGCCCTTCCCACTCTACTCTCTGCAGACAGAAGCCATCCAGGAAAGGCAGATGCAGAGCTCTGAGAGTTTGACGTTGTTTGGTTTGGTTTGGTCTGGCAGGGATAGGGGCAGGGGCAGGGAGGGGATGAGGGTGGGGTTAGAGGTCCCTTTATTCACACCTAATAGTATACGGTGGAGACTTTTGACAATAAACAGCAAGGCAATTCACTCAAAGTAGCTCCAAACAAAAATTAAAAAGAATAGAAACTACTCTTTTCCCACAAACCTAGATCTTAGCCCCGGTCTGATCTTAGTCTCTAACATTCTCTCGTACTCATTCTTGATGGTTTCACGATCCACACACGCGCCAGTCTTTGCAGCCTCAAACGTGGGGCTCAATATCGTAATGGCGCCAATGCGTGAAATGGCCGGTTGGGTGGGCGTTGCCGCGGGGCCACGTCCGGCAGCACAGCGAGTGCTGATGGTGGACTGGGGTGCCTCTGTTTTCCCCGGCCTCCCAGCCTTCAGCCAGGCCACACTGCATTGCACGGGGGGCTTGGGCGTAAGCAAAGGCTGCACAGCATCTTAAGGCCTGGCCTTAGAAGCCGCCTCGTGTCCCCTCTGGGCATCGTGTCCATCTAAGCAAGTCACCAAGCCCAACCACAGCCAAGGAGTCGGGAGATAGGATACACTGTTTTAGATGGAGCAGTGGAGTCACGCTCTAGAAGGCTGTGCGCCCCAGGATGCAGGAGGGGGGGCCTTGAAACCGTATTTTACCCTCTACCGAAGCAGAGGTTTCTTCCAGCTCTCAGGCCAAGGGCTTCCTTGAACCCTCCCCCCCATGGCTACGTCTTCCTTGTTCCTCAGCCAATCACGCCAGTGACTCTAACTCCCAGATTTCGCCGTCACAGCATCCACAGCCCCTCACACCTTGGCCCCCAGCACCCCAGCCTCTGACCCCACTTCCACCTTCCCTCCCTCCTGCCATTCGGCACCAGCACGTCCTTGACCCCAGTGGGGCTATGGTTTTGTCAACTTTCCATGGACCGTCAGCCTCCTCACAGCCTTGCTGTTCACCTTCCAAACTCCACAGACCATTGTTACCCCCTTATCTACACCCTCGGCTCTCAGGCTCTCTTCTGATCCTTGTGGTGTCCACCCAGCAGAATCCAGTCTTAGCTACAGTCAGCCCCACCCCTGCACCCACGAAGTTGAACGCGGCTGGAGGGAACCGCGCAGGCGTCCAGCGAGAACTGAGTTGTAACTCACTGTCGGAAGGCAGGGAGAAATGAAGAGGAGGTTTATAATAACCCTTCGGACTTCAGGGCTGAGCTGCGGACAGCTGGGCGTGTGCCCTTCTTACCTCCCCCGCCTAGTCTGAGAGCTGACTCGGACGGTTGCTTCCTGCTGGCCCTGGCTCTTCCCTTCCACCTCATTCACCACACATCCATGAAGTGGCCCCTGCCTCTGTCACGCACCGGGCAGTTACAGGGCGCAGAGGAGGCAGGCAGGCAGGCAGCGCTAACGGCAGGCGCGGTCTGTGGGCTGGCGGCGTCGGCATCGCGCGGGAGCTTGTTGAGAATGAAGATTCTCAGGGCCTCACCCCAGACCTGCAGAATCAGAACCCCAGGAGCAAGTGTTGGACCCAGGAAGCTGCGTTTGAGCAAGCCCTCCGGTGCCTCGTAGTTATGCTGCAGTTTGAAGATAGTCGCTGGACACTTGCTACGTAATGTGTCATGGCAAGGGCCGAGCGCTTACCCAAAAATGCAGTCCCCCAGACCTCACAACAGGCCCCCTGCAAGGAAACTTGCGTTTCCACCGGGTCCCCAAGGGATCTGTTCACACATTACTGTGCAAGACGCCCTGGTCTAGAAGGTCACGGTCTAGTGGGACATCTGTGTAGGGTTCAAGAGAAGCTCGGAGGAAGGGGGGTGGAGTCAAAAGCACCCTGCAGAGATGCTTACACTTGATGGGAAGAGAGAGATGAGCTGGGGTCTGTCACAGGACCAGGGGCTGGGGCTGGCTGAAAGCTGCCTCTCAGGGTGTAGACGCTCAGGAAGTCTCTGTGACTGGTTGTCGCACATAAGGAACACCCTCGCCCGGCTGCCCAGACCCACGCTGGGGCTCAGCGGGGCCGCCCTGGGGCCTGACGTCACATCTGGTCCCCATGCTGTATTAGCGAGGCTGAGGAACAGTCGTGTGCCTCCGCGTCGTCACTGGACGGGGTAGAAATCTGGTCCCCTCTCCGGAGAGCTCTTTGGCCACGTCTATCAGAATTGAAATGTGCGCGTCTTTCGTTC